GTGGTGGTGTTGTTGTTGACATTGTTGTTGACATCGTTGTTGACATCGTTGTTGTTGTTGACGTTGTTGATGTTGTTGTTGACGTCATTGTTGTTGTTGTGACAGGCCGGAGGGGCTGGTGGTGTTATTGTTGTTGACATTGTTGTTGACCTCGTTGTTATTGTTGTTGACATTGTTGTTGACATTGTTGTTGACATCATTGTTGTTGTTGTGACAGGCCGGAGGGGCTGGTGGTGTCGCGAGCCGACGTGGTGGTGGCCACCGCCGGCCGCCTCGTAGACCACCTGGCACGGACTCCCGGAGTCTCGCTCGCACACCTGCGCTTCTTGGTAACAGCACCACTGCTATAGTACTATACCACTACACTACCACTACTATACTACTACCACTACTATACTACGACTACGCTACTCCTACTGATAAACTACCACTACCGCACTACCACCACACTACCACGACTACTACCACTACTATACCACGACTACGCTACTACTACTGATAAACTACCACTACCACTACTATACTACTACTACTACCACTACTATACTACGACTACGCTACTCCTACTGATAAACTACCACTACCGCACTACCACCACACTACCACCACACTACCACGACTACTACCACTACTATACTACGACTACGCTACTACTACTGATACACTACTACTACCACTACTATACTACGACTACGCTACTACTACTGATAAACTACTACTACCACTACCACCACACTACCACGACTACTACCACTACTATACTATGACTACGCTACTCCTACTGATAAACTACCACTACTGCACTACCACCACACTACCACGACTACTACCACTACTATACTACGACTACGCTACTACTACTGATAAACTACTACTGCCACTCACGCACTACCACGACTACTACCACGACTACTACCACTACTATACTACGACTACGCTACTACTACCGATAAACTACTACTACCACTACTGCACTACCACCACACTACCACTATTACTACCACTACTATACTACGACTATGCTACTACTACTGATAAACTACTGCTAGCTACCACTACCGCACTACTACCACCACACTACCACGACTACTACCACTACTATACTACGACTACGCTACTACTACTGATAAACTACTACTACCACTACCACCACACTACCACGACTACTACCACTACTATACTACGACTACGCTACTACTACTGATAAACTACTACTACCGCACTACCACCACACTACCACGACTACTACCACTACTATACTACGACTACGCTACTACTACCGATAAACTACTACTACCACTACTGCACTACCACCACACTACCACTATTACTACCACTACTATACTACGACTATGCTACTACTACTGATAAACTACTGCTAGCTACCACTACCGCACTACTACCACCACACTACCACGACTACTACCACTACTATACTACGACTACGCTACTACTACTGATAAACTACTACTACCACTACCACCACACTACCACGACTACTACCACTACTATACTACCACTACTATACTACGACTATGCTACTACTACTGATAAACTACTACTACCACTACCACGACTACTACCACTACTATACTACCACTACTATACTACGACTATGCTACTACTACTGATAAACTACTACTACCACTACCGCACTACCACTACCGCACTACCACCACACTACCCCCGTCACATGACCCCCAACCCCCCCCCCCCCCTCTGCCCAGGTGGTGGACGAGGCCGACCGCATGATGGACTCCCTGAGCCAGGATTGGCTGAGCCAGGTCACGCGGGCCGCCACGGGGGCGGCTCCTCCCAGCATGCTGTGCGGCAGGGCGGGACCTGGGGTCACCACTCAGCCCGGGGGGTGAGGGGGGAGGGGGGGAGGGTGGCTGGTGTCTTCCCCGTGTCTCCGTGTCTCCCCCCGTGTCTCTGTGTCTCCCCCCGTGTCTCCCCCGTGTCTCCCCCTGTGTCTCCCCCGTGTCTCCCCCCGTGTCTCCCCCCGTGTCTCTCACCATGTCTCCCCGTGTCTTCCCCGTGTCTCCGTGTCTCCCCTGTGTCTCTCACCGTGTCTCACCGTGTCTCCCTTGTGTCTCCCCTGTGTCTCCCCCGTGACTCCCCCGTGTCTCCCCCCGTGTCTCTCCCCGTGTCTCTCACCGTGTCTCCCCCGTGACTCTCCGTGTGTCTCTCTCCGCGTGTCTCACCGAGTCTCCCCGTGTCTCCCCCGTGTGTGTCCCGTGTGTGCCCCGTGTCTCCCCCCGTGTCTCCCCCCGTGTCTCCCCCCGTGTCTCCCCCCGTGTCTCCCCCCGTGTCTCCCCCCGGAACTCTCACCGTGTCTCTCCGCGTGTCTCTCACCGTGTCTCTCCCCGTGTCTCTCCGCGTGTCTCTCACCGTGTCTCTCTACGTGTCTCTCACCGTGTCTCTCTACGTGTCTCTCCGTGTCTCCCCTGTGTCTCCCCCGTGTCTCCCCCGTGTCTCCCCCGTGTCTCCCCCGTGTCTCCCCCGTGTCTCCCCCGTGTCTCCCCCGTGTCTCCCCCGTGTCTCCCCCGTGTCTCCCCCGTGTCTCTCCCGTGTCTCCCCCGTGTCTCACCGTGTCTCACCGTGTCTCTCACCGTGTCTCCCCTGTGTCTCCCCTGTGTCTCCCACCGTGTCTCACTGTGTCTCTCACCGTTTCTCACCGTTTCTCACCGTGTCTCCCCCGTGTCTCCCCCGTGTCTCACCGTGTCTCACCGTGTCTCCCCGTGTCTCTAACCGTGTCTCACCGTTTCTCACCGTGTCTCCCCCGTGTCTCTTACCGTAACTCACCGTGTCTCCCCTGTGTCTCCCCCGTGTCTCACCGTGTCTCCCCCCGTATCTCCCCGTGTCTCTCCGTGTGTCTCTCTCCGCGTGTCTCACCGTGTCTCCCCCGTGTCTCCCCCGTGTCTCCCCCGTGTCTCCCCCGTGTGTGTCCCGTATCTCACCGTGTCTCACCGTGTCTCCCCCGTGTCTCCCCCGTGTCTCCCCCGTGTGTGTCCCGTGTCTCACCGTGTCTCCCCCGTGTCTCTCACCGTGTCTCTCACCGTGTCTCCCCCGAGTATCCTCCTCACATATCCCCCACCCCTCCCACCCACTCTCTCACCCCCCCACCCCTCTCCTACCACCTCCCCCCCCCCCCCCAACGACCCCCCCCCCACCCCTCTCTAACCCCACCCACCCACCCACCCCTCTCTTACCCCCCCCACCCACCCACCCCTCTCTTACCCCCCCCACCCACCCACCCCTCTCTTACCCCCCCCACCCACCCACCCCTCTCTTACCCCCCCCACCCACCCACCCCTCTCTTACCCCCCCACCCACCCCTCTCTTACCCCCCCCACCCTCCCCTCTCTTACCCCCCCACCCACCCCTCTCTTACCCCCCCACCCACCCCTCTCTTACCCCCCCACCCACCCCCCACTCACTCCCCTACCCCCCCACCCCCCCCCCTCACTCCCCTACCCACCCACCCCTCTCTTACCCCCCCACCCACCCCTCTCTTACCCCCCCACCCACCCCCCACTCACTCCCCTACCCCCCCACCCCCCCCCCTCACTCCCCTACCCACCCACCCCTCTCTTACCCCCCCCACCCACCCACCCCTCTCTTACCCCCCCACCCACCCACCCCTCTCTTACCCCCCCACCCACCCCTCTCTTACCCCCCCCACCCTCCCCTCTCTTACCCCCCCACCCACCCCTCTCTTACCCCCCCACCCACCCCTCTCTTACCCCCCCACCCACCCCCCACTCACTCCCCTACCCCCCCCACCCCCCCCCCTCACTCCCCTACCCACCCACCCCTCTCTTACCCCCCCACCCACCCCTCTCTTACCCCCCCACCCACCCCCCACTCACTCCCCTACCCCCCCACCCCCCCCCCTCACTCCCCTACCCACCCACCCCTCTCTTACCCCCCCACCCACCCCTCTCTTACCCCCCCACCCACCCCCCACTCACTCCCCTACCCCCCCACCCCCCCCCCCTCACTCCCCTACCCACCCACCCCTCTCTTACCCCCCCACCCACCCCTCTCTTACCCCCCCACCCACCCCTCTCTTACCCCCCCACCCACCCCCCACTCACTCCCCTACCCCCCCACCCCCCCCCCCCTCACTCCCCTACCCCCCCCCCCACTCACTCCCCTACCCCCCCCACTCACTCCCCTACCCACCCACCCCCCCCCACTCACTCCCCTACCCACCCACTCATTCACTTCCCCCCCCCCCACCCACCCCCCCACTTCCCCACCCACCTACCCACTCCACCACCCACCCCCCCACTCACTCCCCTACCCACCCACCCCCCCCCACTCACTCCCCTACCCCCCCCCCCACTCACTCCCCTACCCCCCCCACTCACTCCCCTACCCACCCACCCCCCCCACTCACTCCCCTACCCCCCCCCCCACTCACTCCCCTACCCCCCCCACTCACTCCCCTACCCACCCACCCCCCCCCACTCACTCCCCTACCCACCCACTCATTCACTTCCCCCCCCCCCACCCACCCCCCCACTTCCCCACCCACCCACTCATTCACTTCCCCCCCACCCACCCCCCCACTTCCCCACCCACCTACCCACTCCACCACCCACCTCCCCCACTCACTCCCCTACCCACCCCCCCCCACTCACTCCCCTACCCACCCCCCCCCCACTCACTCCCCTACCCACCCCCCCTACTCACTCCCCTACCCACCCACCTACCCACTCATTCACTCTCCCACCCACCCACTCCCCCCCCCCACCCACCCCTCTCTTACCTCCCCCCCCCCCCCCCAGATCGTGGCCCCCACGCGCCCCGCTACAGAAGCTGCTGCTCTCCGCCACCCTCACCCACAGCCCCGAGTCTCTGCAGACCCTGGGCCTCTTCCGGCCCCTCCTCTTCTCCGCCAGCGGTGGGGGGGAGGAGGGGGGGGAGGGGGGGGAGGGGGGGGAGGGGGGGGGCGGCCCCCACCAAACGCCCCGGGGGGGGGGAGGGGGAGGGGGGGGAGGTGCGGGGGGGGGCGGCGCCCTGAAGGGCGTGGGGAGCGAGGGCCTCTTCAGCTTTCCCGACTCGCTCACCGTGAGTAGGGGGGGAGGGGGGGTGGGGGGGTGGGAGGTGGGGTGGAGGGGTGGGTGGGGGGGGAGTGAGTGGGGGGGTGGGGGGGGGGGAGTGAGTGGGGGGGTGGGGGGTGGGGGAGTGGGTGGGGGGGGTGGGGGTGGGTAGGGGAGTGAGTGGGGGGGTGGGTGGTGGAGTGAGTGGGGGGGGGAGTGAATGAGTGGATAGGTGGGTGGGTAGGGGAGTGAGTGGATAGGTGGGTGGGTAGGGGAGTCAGTGGGGGGCATGGGTGGGTAGGGGAGTCAGTGGGGGGCGTGGGTGGGTAGGGGAGTGAGTGGATAGGTCGGTGGGTAGGGGAGTCAGTGGGGGGCATGGGTGGGTAGGGGAGTGAGTGGGGGGGTGGGTGGGTAGGGGAGTGAGTGGGTAGGTGGGTGGGTAGCGGAGTGAGTGGGGTGGGGGGGTGGGTGGGTAGGGGAGTGAGTGGGGGGGGTGGGTAGGGGAGTGAGTGGGGGGTGGGTGGGTAGGGGAGTGTGTGGGTGTCTCCCTATGTCTCGTGTCTCCGCAGGAGTACTATGTCTCAGTGTCTCCGTGTCTCCGTGTCTCCGTGTCTCAGTGTCTCAGTGTCCCCGTGTCCCCGTGTCCCCGTGTCCCCGTGTCCCCGTGTCCCCGTGTCCCCGTGTCCCCGTGTCCCCGTGTCCCCGTGTCCCCGTGTCCCCGTGTCCCCGTGTCCCCGTGTCCCCGTGTCCCCGTGTCCCCGTGTCCCCGTGTCCCCGTGTCCCCGTGTCTCTGTGTCTCTGTGTCTCTGTGTCTCTGTGTCTCTGTGTCTCCGTGTGTCTGTGTCTCAGTGTGTCTGTCTCAGTGTCCCAGTGTCCCATTGTCTCAGTGTCTCCGTGTCTCAGTCTCCCCGTGTCCCCGTGTCTCCGTGTCTCTGTGTCTCCGTGTCTCCGCAGGACTACTATGTCCCCGTGTCTCCGCAGGAGTACTATGTCTCAGTGTCTCTGTGTCTCTGTGTCTCCATGTCTCAGTATCTCAGTGTCTCCGTGTCCCCGTGTCTCCGTGTCAGTACTGTGTCTCCGTGTCTCCGCAGGAGTACTATGTCTCCGTGTCTCCGTGTCTCCGCAGGAGTACTATGTCTCAGTGTCTCCGTGTCTCCGTGTCTCCGCAGGAGTACTATGTTCCCGTGAGTCTCAAGCTGAAGCCGCTCGCCGTGCTGCACTTTGCCCTGCACCTGCGCTTCCGCAAGATTCTCTGCTTCACCAACACCAGACAGGCGGCACACAGGTTGACTACAACACCACCACAACCACCACCACCACCACAACAACAACCAACCACTACCACCACCACTACTACTACTACCACCACTACTACCACCATCACAACCACTACCACCACCACTACCACCACCACCACTACCACCATCACTACCACCACCACAACCACCACTACCACCACCACCACTACCACCACCACTACCACCAATACCACCACGACCACCACCACGACCACCACTACCACCACCACCACAACCACCACAACCACTACCACCACCACTACCACCACCACAACCACCACTACCACCACCACTACCACCACCACTACCACCATCACTACCACCACCACTACCACCATCACTACCACCACCACTACTACCACCACGACCACCACTACCACCATACACTCTGTGTTGGTGTGTTGATGGACTGTAGCACCTGGTGTTTATGAATGGGGGTGTTTGTGTGTTAGGCTGTACCATCTGGTGTCTATGAATGGGGGTGTTTGTGTGTTAGGCTGTACCATCTGGTGTCTATGAATGGGGGTGTTTGTGTGTTGTTAGGCTGTACCAT